GAGAGAGAGAGAGAGAGAGAGAGAGAGAGAGAGAGAAGGCATAGGAGAAAGAGTGAGGGGGAAAGGAGAGCAGGCCAACCCACAGACCAATGGAGGGGCATCTTAATGATGCATGGTAGGAGAGAGACTCCACTGAGGCCAGGAGGTTCTGGAGAGGAACTGAAGACTTCTGGGATGGAGGTACAAATCTTGCCTGCTCTAAGTGGTGAAAGGAGCGTTTGGGAGCATTCCAGCAAATGAATGCCACATCTGAGCAGGACACGTACAGTGTACATAGAGAACAGCTTGTGACACTTGTAGACACAGGAAGAAAAAAGGCCTGGAAACACTTCTTTTCCTTGAGGCATTCAGTGCAAAGACCACCACAACATCCGGGAAAGCCAGCTCAAAGTGAGACACTGTCCTGTACGCAGTAAGGGGTCACAAGTCACTGTGAGCTAGACAACAGTGGAGACCAGATCACACAGACATGGCTATGGGGAGTGGGGAATCCAGGGTTTACCTCAATGCCAAGAAGTTCTGCTTGCACGCTAGGAGCCTGGCCATGGAGTGCGCACAGCCGTCGGTCAATTTGTTGTTGAACAGACTGTTAGGTTCCAGGGAGGAGGAGATATGATGATAAGACACATGATCTGTGAGCCATCAAACCTAGCAGTGCCCGCTCTCTCCGTCCAGAAACCACCCATCACTCTCCAGCCAGGCAACTCCCTGGCCCAGCCCATCGCCCACCCTTGACTGCCCAGGTGGCACAGCCGGGAATGAGACTAGGGGGCATGGGACCCAGTGTCCACAGCCTGGGCCAACTTACGCTAACTTCTGCAGCTGCTCACAGTGAAGAGCACATTCAATGAGCTTGCATATGCCACGGTCTGAGATATTGTTATCTCTCAAACTAAAAAAGACAAAATAAATTAAATAAAAAATAGAGCTGATAAGATGGGGAAAAATTTGCAAAACCCTTAAAGAGAATTTCACTCATCTCCAAAGAACAAAGCATCCCTCTCTGCTTCTGGGAATCACAAGATTGGGGCACCCCAGAAATGTGGAAACCCTTGGCATCCCTGGCTAGAAAGCTGACCATGGCAGGGACAGCCCAATGAGTGAGGACCCAGAGCCCCTACTAAAGAACACTGAGGTCCTCAGAAAGCCAAAGAACTAATTTCAGGCCCAGTTCTCATCTCTACTAAAGGGTAATGACCATCACAGCAGCCTGACAGAAGGGTCTCAAGTAGAAAGGAAAGGTGTAATCGGAACTGGATAGACCACCTCTGGGGGTAACAGTGGTCAGTACCTTCTAGCAAGTAGATGGTAGACAAGTTGGACGAGAGTGGTCAAAACTTTGAAAGCCTACACACAGGCTGTGGGTTAGTGACACACACTGTGCATGCTCCTTACCCAGCGATACCCACTGCTGCAGGCTACATCCTACCAAGCAAGCCTGTCCAACACTCCTCTGGGGCACCTTTCCCTAAACTCAACTGAAAGTTTCCCTAAAATACAATTCTCAGGCCCTTACCCTAGAGCTGGTGATTCCGTATGTAGGAGGCAGAACCCAGGGATCTGTATATTTTGACAACGTGCACCTGATTCTTTATCTTTAGGCAAATTTGGGAGGCCATGACTAACTGACTAGCCACCAGCTCAGGCATTAGAGTCCCTCAGCTGAACATTCTGGTCCTGATTGACCACTCACTATCCATCTGCTGGTCCTTTTATCCATGAGAAATAAATGACTGCTTTGCCACCTGTACAAATAAGCACTGTGGGCACCTGGCACATGGTGAGAGCCACCTGTACTACAGAGTGCTCACAGGGATGGTGTGTTCTATGTGCCTGGCACTAACCTGTTCCCAATATTGCTTAATTCTCACTATAAGCTCATGTAGGAGGTGCTACTATTATGTTCATTAGAGAGAAAGCAACTGAGGCAGAGACAGAGGAAGTGACTTTGCTGAGGTTGTCCAGCACTGAAAGGGTTGAGCCTAAGCAGTCTGACTGCCAATCCCAGCTTAAAACAACAACATTATGTAGTCTCCCTGTCGCCTTTTTTGGGCTCTCAACAGTAGTGGTTACTAGGGGTTGTGTGACCCATTTATGGGTCATGAAACCAATTTTGAAGGTCCTGAGCAGCATTTTTAAAAACTGAAATAAAACAGACAGAAGAGTGGAGTGTGTCTGAGTTAATAAGGGAAGTCATTTCACCACACTTCTGTTTCAATTCTACATGCTGGTGTGTCTGTTCGCTCATTTGCTTGCTCTCTCTCTGACTGTAGGTGATGGTCAAAGCTTTGAAACCCATCACCCTAGAGGCAGAGGGAGCCAGGAAACTGCATAGGGGCACTTAGCATAAGTCCTAGAGGCTGAGGATTTGGTTGGCATGGAAACACTCAGAGTGGGAGAAATGGAGCCTGGCACCATGGGAGAAGAGCCTGTCCCCTTCCTCCCTTCCTCTTTCTTTTCCCTCCCTCTGTATATGTGGAGGAGTGGGTGTGGGTGTGTTTCTGTGTCACACACACACACATACACACACAGAGGAGATATACCATAGGATAGAACTCGGTCAAGGACTTTAACTGCTGTGTTACTCAGCCTTTCATCACTATAACAAACTATCTGAGATAATTAATTTATAAAGAGAAAAATTCATTTTGGCACACGTTTTTGGAGGTTCCGGTCCATGACGGACTGGCCCCATTGCTTGTAGGGCTGTGCACATGATGGTGGGAGTGTAGGAAGGAGCAAAACTGATTACATACAGAGCCAGGGAGCAAAGCAGAAAAGGAGGGGGCCAGGATCCCATGATCCCTTTCAGGGTCACACCGCCAATGACTTAAAGACCTCTCACAAGGCCTTGCCTCTCAAAGGTTCCACACCTTCCGATAACGCCTCCCTGGGGACCAAGTTTTTATCACATGGACCTCTGGGGGACGTTTATCCAAACCACAGCAACTGCTAATGGAAAACCAAGTTGGTTCCTGCAAACCAACTATTCTCACAGCGAGACCACCTGTATCAGAATCACAGGTGATGATGAATGGGAGTTACTGGGGCAGGCTCAGGAACCTGCATTGCAGCAAGCATCTGTGCACACTGAGGTCTGAGCACCTTGAACTAGAACCAGGCCACCCTCACCTTTCTTTGAAAATAGACACACACCCTAACCAGGAAAACTTTTCTTTTTTTTTACTGCCAGGAAAACACATTCAATTTCTGTCAGAATCGCTCTAGTTCATGGGCCTCCAAATTCTCCAGGCAACATAGCATGCTTCTCCCTTCCAAAGAAAGTGGACCATTGTGCTGGCCATCATCTACTATTTGCCTGGCCATACTCCCCGCCTCTCCTGAGCTCTTGGCCCTGAGAGGTTGGTGTCTATCAATGACGCCAGCAGGCAGACTGTTCCCTCTCTGCTGGGTTCTGTCCCAGAAAGCACTGTCAGAGAGGCAAGAGCTAGCAGGAAGAGAAAGAGCCAGGTTTTCTTCCCTCAGAACCCACCCTTCCAGATGGCAGAAACCCAGGGAACTCTCTCCATGATTCCTCTCAGCTACTAAGTACTCCCACCCCCACCTTCAGGCCACCCCCAACTGGTACAAGCCCCAGGGCCCTGTGCTACCCCTCTGTGCTCTTCCTAACTCCTGTCTTCACCTCTGTAGGCAGTCTCTTTAGTAAACTCTCCCCATATTACCCAGTTTAAGTGTGCAATCTGTTTCCACCTGATAAGCATATTCACATTTCTATTATATACTAATTATATATAATACAATACTTTATATTATCCTCTAAACTTATGACTATGGTCCCTATGTAAGGGTTAACAAAAGTCACTGTACAGTTTCAAGTAGATTTTCTTGTGTTTGTATCATGGAGAAATGAGCCTTGCTGCTCTGCCTCAGAGAAGATATTCCATCCTAATTCAGCAAAGCAGTGTCTTATCATTTGCTCAGAGTCAATTAACGTTATCTGGAAGTACTTGCAAAGCCCAGGAGGCTGTGAATAGATTTTTAACTGTAATCTACAACTTCCACTTTCTGATAGGCTCTAAATAGATGGCAGGACATCCCCTTTCAAAAGTGGAAGGGAAGCTGGGGAGTTAGTGGCATGCCGGCCACCAGTCCTGGGCACACCCTTTGTCCTCGCTTGCCCCAAGACGTGGGAAGAGGCCCACGTGTTCAAGAACACAAACATTCCAAAGTGCAAACCCTTCCATTTCTAGCCGGGGGCACGAAGCAGTATGAGTAATGCCAAAAGGGTGAAATTCTCCAACCACTTCCTGTTTCTTGGGTCCTGAAATTCCCACTTGATGGGATTTTCAAGACTCTGATGGGGCACAAGTCACCTCTCATTTGAAGTAGCTCCTAATACAGACACATATCACACAAAACTTTGCATGGGATCTTGAGGTTTTCCCAGACCTTCAGAAGTGCATCCATAGATAGGCTCCTTGTGGGGACAAGGAAACTTGCACCTAGAAAGGTATGATTTGTGAAACCCAAGCTTCCCATTTCCTGTGTAACTCCAGACAAGTTACTTCACATCTCTGAGCTTTAAATCAAAGATAATGTGGATAATGATGTCCAGGCTGACAGCCAGGGATTAGATGAGGTCATTCTGGACAGTACAGCCCAGTGCCTGGCCCATAAAGACATTCAATAAAGTGTGGCTATTATGATCCAGTATTGAAACTAAGGGCCAGAATGGGAAGGGGTCTGGTCTGTGTGGCACAGACAACAGGTGGCAGAACTGGGGCTGGGACTTCTGGATCCCAAGTAGGTAGGTGCTCCCATGCCTAACCTTGACCGTGGCATTCCCCACATGCCTGACCAACAATGCCCAACAACACTCACTAAAGAGCCTTGCAGACGCTGAGGCAGGGCAGCAGCTGCTCCACGCCAATGTCTCCCACAGAGTTATGGTCCAGCTGCAGAGCTACAGGCCGCCGGAGGTGACGCAGCACAAAGGCCAGAGCAGCACACTCAGCAGGGCCCACACTGCAAAATGTCAACTTGAGGTGCCCAACGTCCAGCCCACGCACAGCCTTCCGTGCCAGCTGCTCCTCCTGCATCTCATACAGGCTCCGGATAAGCCAGACAAACCCGGGCATGGCATGCATGCTCTTGACCTCACCCGGCACAGCTGAAGGGATGGCATGGAAGTGCTTTCGGAGGCTGCGGGCCAGACAGCGGCGGGCACAGGCATGGCGCCGGAGCAGGGCAGTCTCAGACAGCTGGCACTGAGCCAGCAGACCCCGGTGTTCCTGAGACAACAGCCCTGCCAGGAAGGCTGCTGTGATGTGAAGATTGTGTGGCTCTACCTTCTGCAGCTGAGCTGCCTCGCAACCCTCTTCACACCTGGAGCCCTGGATACACAGCATAGGCAGCAGCCTAGCCAGTGGAGAGCTGCCAGGCTGGCGGCAACTGAATAGGTGTCTGAGTGAGGCAGTTGGCATGTCAGCACTGACTACCAGGTAGAAAGCAGCAAAAAAGCACTGGAAAGTAATGTGCAGGAATTCCAGGGGTGCAGCATTCCCTGGCACAACACTCTGGGTACGCACCAGGAAGCCCAGGGAAATGTCATCAGGGTCAACCTGTGCTGCCTGGAGCTGCTGGACTGAGAACACATAGCGGCACCTGGTCAGGCCCCAGAGAGCCAGGCGGCCGAGGTGCAGCAGAGTGGGGAGCCTGCCCCGAAGGAGGCCTGGGCCTAGGCCATGGGAGGCAGAGTCAAGAGGGGACGCATGCAGCAGAAAATGCTGCAGGATCAGAAGGTACATATCTGTGGTGGTCGTTGGGGACTCCCTATTCTGCAGCAACAGTTCCTGGTGGCACCTGGACACCATCCACAAAAAGACAGGGAGATGGCATAGGCCATGCAGGGCTGAGGTGGTTTGTAGCAGATGGATGAGGCGGTCCGCCACTTCAGGCTCAGGGTGGTGCTTTCTCAGGTACAGCTCAATGCCTTCTTCTGAGAAACCCCTGAGGTGGCACTCCGTGCGCACATACTTCCTGAGCAGCGCTGACACTGAGTCTGGACGGCTGGTCAGTACTTTTCGGGCATTCTTCAGCAGGTTGCCCTGCAGAAGGTTGAAAAGCAGAGTCTGGACTGATGTTGGGTCAGCCGGAGAGCAGTGACGCTCGCAGTCTGTGAACCTGAACTTGAACTCATCAAAACCATCAAAGGTTAACAGGACACGGTCAGGGTGGTCAAGGAGGAACTGGAAGACATCCTGTTGGCCCACATCAGGCCAACAACAGTGTTCAAACAGCAGCATTCTTAAGGACAGTGATTTGGCCAAGCACCGCAGCTGCCGGCAGCTGAATGGGAAGACAAAGAGAAATTCCTGGAAGTCCCTCCCTGTAGCCCACAGCAAGTGCAGCCGCTGCAGGAGTGTGCTTTTGCCACTGCCCGCCTCACCCACCACCAGCACAGTGTCCGCATCTTCATTGACGTTGCCATGGGTACTGAAGAGCTCCTCCAGGCCCAGCGTGGTAGGGCTCTTCTGTGAGGATCCAGCCATGCCTGCCTCTGTCCGGACCTCCAGGATATTCTCAGTGTATATGTCCTCCAGGCAAAGATTCTCCACCCCATCGTAAGTACTGAGGAAGCGAGACTGAGCAGACACCGTGGTCCTTAGCTTGGATATGTACTTCTGACACTCAGTAGCTAGAAGACAGAAGGAGAGGCAAATGAGGGAGGGATGGCAACCAAGATGGGACCTGGTCAACCAGAGAGTGGGATGCCTGGGGGGAATCCATGCTACTGCTGGCACAGAAGAGCCAGTGGGCATCCATCCTGGCTCCTCTACTCATGGCTGTAGACTTTGAGGACAGACCCAGAATCTTCCAAAGCATCAGTTTCCTCCACTGTGAAATATGTAAAACCAGCTTAGAGAACTTTGACATGGATGGCAAGTGCTAAATACAGCATCCAACATAAGGTAAGGGCTCCAAAGACACTGGCTACTGCCATGATTATTGCTGGCACCAAGAAGCACTGTGGAGGATTAGGAGCACTGGGCTGGGTTTAGAAGACCTACATTCTGATGCCTGTCCTGCCATATTGGCTACTTAGCCCCAATTACCGCTTTCTCAAGGGAAACAGAAGATGTGAGGGCCTCAGAGCCCAGGTTTTGAAGTCAGACATACCTGAGTTTGAAACCTGAGCCCATTGTTAATTTGGCCAAGTAACTTGGCCTGGGCTTCAGGCTTCTCCTCTGTTAAAGAGAGAGTCAATCCTGAAGGATCGTTTCAGGAGGCAATGAGATGAAATAGAGTTCAGAAGAATACTGACACTCAGTAAACAATCCAAAAATGGTGTTTACTTTGTTATTAGTGTGTATGACAGGCACAATAATGGTCCCCAAAGATGTCCATGTTCTGATTCCTGAAACCTGTGAAGATGTTACCTTTACATGGCAAAAGGGACCCTTCAGGAATGATAATGCCAGAGGCCTTGAGATGGACAGACTTAACCTGAGTGATCTGGGTGGGCTTAGCACTGGAGAGCCTACAAGTCATCAGGGTGGCTGGGTCAAGCACTCTGACAAGAACCTCTGATCCTGCCTACTGTCCCCATCGTCCCCCCCACACACACCCCCTTCTGCAGGCAGAGTTCTCATGCCCAGGGTGCATCCAGGGGCTGCCACTTGTCCTTTATCATCCCGTACCAATGTGTGCAAACCACTTCCTGCTTCAGTTCAGTTCCCCTTTGAGTAAACAAGGAAGTGCTGGTCCACAGTTCCAGGCCAGCTGGACATCAGTGTGGCTCCCCCATCACAGCCTCACTGCCCCCAACAAAGGACTGGCCCACTTATTCTCAACTCAGACACTAACAGGGACTTTTCCAAGAGCCCTTAGCTCCCTGGAGTGCCCACAGAGTCATACAAAGCAATTGCCCTGTATCCGTGTCACTTCTCTCTCTCTCTCTCTCTCTCTCTCTCTGTCTCTCTCTCTTTGAAATGGGGTCTCACCGCATTGTCAAGCTGACTTCAAACTCCTGGCAAGCGATCCTCCTGCCTCAGTCTCTAGAGCAGCTGGGACTACAGGCCTGTGTCACCACACCTAGCGTGTGATGACATTTTTGCTCCCAGAGCTGATGAAAGCTTTACTCCCTCTGCCTGCTGGAGCTGAGGAACACTGAACAGAAACAGAAGGTACAGATCTTCCTGTTCCAACACTAGTCTCCAGCCATTCCCGATGGTACTAAAGTTCTCCCAACAAATTCTCTCTGATTTTAAATAAAAATGTTACATGTCAATTGTCACTTTAGAAGCATCTTGCATCATTGCAGTGTTACAATGCCTACATGGCTACCTGTGCTTAATGATATTACCCACAAACATTCACCAAGGGCAGAGCAGGACACTGTGTACTGATGTGTGGTTAAATAAGCTGGCCCACACCTGAGTGCCATACACAAACCTCCAGCCATCCTGCCCACAAGTTTGCTCGCTGCCCCGAGGGCAGGGCCCAGGGCGATAAATCCATCCATCAGCGCCAGGCCCATTGTCCAGGGGCCTTCAGTACCCCTGTACTTCCCCTTCAATGATGTGGGAACAAGACTCAAAGAGCATTGGGCTTACGTGCTCTCTTTATAACTGACAATGTCTTCTCCCCAGAAGAGAGAAAGCGTGGGTGGGGACAGGCAGACCCATCTTCCTGTACCTCATCGCCCAACCTCCCTGCCCTGTTTCCATGCCTATGAAGTGGAAAAAAAGCACCTACTTCTGGGGTTATTGCAAAGGGCCCAGCAGGATAGGATGCCTGCTGTGTTCTAGCTATGCTATCCAAACCTCCTTCCTTCCTAAGTTGGGCTGGTAACCATGGACACAGATGGGGCCACATCTCTAAGTCCACTTGGTTCTTAAGTTGCTAATCATGAGGAGCTAAAATTTCAAAGATCAAGAGATGCCAGCCACATCACAAAAATTGTATCTGTATCTTTTTGGTACAGACGATGAGCATGTGGATGATGTGAGTGCTCCGTCGTTTATGGTGGCTCCAATTATCACCACGCAGAGAGGAAGTAATGAGAAGGAAGCACTAACATTAATGCTTTCTCCTCCTAAGCCTCCCAGCAGCCCAAGAGGCAGTTGGTTGTGTAAGCCTTCAAATGAGGAAACTGAGTCTTAGGGAAGCTTATGCACTAATACGTGGGAAGTTAACTGATGTGTGTTTTTCTCTTTACCTGCAAATCTGTGCTGACTTCCTTTCTCTTCTTGTTTAACAGAGAAAAACAAATACATACCCTGAAGAGGCAGGGATGGAGCGACTGGCAAGTCCTGAACATGTTGTAGAAGGAAGGCAGCCAATCCATTTGCCTTCACTGTGGCAAGATCGAGCAGCCTTCTTGCCTATGGAGAAAGCAAAGGCCATTATTTTTGCAGAAAAGCTATTGGGGTAATATGATAAGGTTTCTACTGCATATAATCTGAGCTTCCCTAATCTGCAAAATTGAAATTTGAAATGCTTCAAAATCCAAAATGTTTTAAGCACCAATACGATGCCACAATTGGAAAATTTCAAATAATGGAACTTTGTTTGAAATTATTTGAAATATTGTATAAAATTACCTTCAGGCTATTTGTATAAGGTGCATATGAATATAAATGAATTTTGTGTTTAAACTTCTAAGACAGTAATTATATATATGCAAATATTCCTAAATCTGAAATCTGAAACACTTCTGGTCCAAGCATTTAGAATAAAGGCATTCAATCTGTACTACAATTTCATAAGCATCTCTCTTCCATCACAATAAAAGCCCCCCACCCTGCAAAAACAAAAAAACAACCAACCACTTGAGTTTAAAGGAGGTGTTATAGTACTGGGTGGTGAAATGAACAATCCTCCCCAACCTGGCTACCTCTTGAAAACTACCAAAGCGTGAATATCTAAAAAATAAATAAAATGAGACAAAATGAGTATACAAATCTACAAATGTAGAAAGATAGGGAAAGTGCTACTGGAAGCCACAAATGACTTGCAAGAGAAGCAAGTTCATCAAGTCTCACGGTTCAAATGCATGAACACGGACTCTGCTCATGACCCACGCTTCTACCTCTAGCCTGAATTGTTCCCCTGACTCCAGGACTTGCACATTGACTTGCCCACGCTCTTCCTCCACTTAAATGTTTCATAAGCCCACACACACGCCTAACCTACAGCCTTTCTCATCCCAGATGATGTCACCTCCACCATTCCAGCTGCTCAGTCCCAAAGTTCTGGAGTCACCCTTGGAGCCCCTCCTCTGCAGCCCATTAGCAAATCCTGCTGGCTTCACCTTCAAAAACAAGTAGAACAGCTCTCTTAAGAGATTCTCACAGAATCTCAATGTGGGCCAGCTGTCTGATAGAAACAGAATGCAAGACACAAATGCAAGCCACGCATGCAATTTCAAATCTTCTAATAGTCATTCTTTTTTTTTTTTTCCAGTGGGACTGGGGTTTGAACTCACACTTGCAAAGTAGGTGCTTACCACTTGAGTCACACCTCCAGTCCCAAGCACATACTTCAAAGGAAAAAAAATAGATGGAATTAATCTTAATCATGTATGCCATTTAATCCAAGGTATCCAAAACAATGCCATTTCAACATGCAGTCAATATAAAAAATTAGCAAGATAGGTTACATTCTTTCATTCAAGTCTTCAATAGCTTTGTACACTTATAGAATCCCAATATAGAGAGCTGTGTCTCCAGAGTTCAACAGCCTCATGTGGCTAGCATCTCATATGAGAGGCATTGTTATGGGTCCCTGCCACTTCTCATTGTCAGCTCTACTGCCACCACATGCCAGGCCACCACCATGGCTCAACTGAAGAAATGCAAAGGTTGCCACCTAGGTCTTTCTGCTGGGTCCCTGCCTATTCTCACAGTCTATTCCTGGTACCACCACCTGAATGTAATCCTTGGCCAATAAGTAAGAGCACCGTACCTTGTTATAAACGTCCCAGCTGTGTCCCCATTTTCTCAGTCAAAGGCCAAATCCGACCTAAACTTCAAGGCCCAAAACAGACAAAAATCCCTGTCTGACCACTGCACCCAGTTATACCTCTGACCTCACCACTTATTCCTCTTCCCCTGCTCATTCCATTCAGCACAGGTCTTCCCGAAAATATTCCTCCAGGCCTTTGCTCTGGCTATACCTCTGGCCTGGGTATCCTGCTATGCACATGGCAAACTCCCTCACCTCCCCCAAGTCTTTGTTCAGATCCACCTTTGCAGTAAGAGCCCTCTTATTATTACAAACTGAAATCACTTATCCTTCACCCCTTCCCTACACTCTCAATATCCAGACACACTTTACTGGTGGGCCCTGTGCCAGGCACTTTCTGAATGAATGAATGCCAATGAACTTAGAAGGCTCCTGAGATCCAAATCTTAAGCCCAAAATGCAGCAGGTGGGAATTACACAAGGCACCCCTTGGAACTGTCAGTACATCTGGAACCAAGGGAAACAACAAAAAAGACCAAGTCAACGTATTTATGTAACAGCTTTCCAGATTCCCTTACCCACTCCAAGCCACTAACAAATATCCCTGGCTGCCATGGCAAAGTTTGGAGATTTGTATTCTTTCTGGAAGGGGTAAAAGAGAGGATTCCATGACTGTGAGACACCAGGCACAATTAAAGAAGTGGACGTCATACCCTAACCATGTACAAAATGAAGGCTGAATGCTAGGACTTTCCCTCTCCCCCCATCACCTACCCAGGCCTCTCATCCACTGGGCTCCCAGACCTCTGGCAATCAGACTTTATCCCCAAGCAGGAGATTTGTGGTCTATCCAAGGAAATTGGTCAACCCAGGAGGAAAAGTCTAAAGATAGAAACACTGTCATTTCCCAAAATGTCTAAGCAGAATTCATAGCAGAGAAGTTTCACTAAACATGCTAAGTTTTAAAGTCCTCCATTTCATAGCCCAATATGATGATGCACACCTGTAATCTCAGCATTTGCAAAACTGAGATGGGAAGATTGCAAGTTCAAGGCAAGCCTGGGCCACATAGGAAGACCCTGTTTCAAAATTAATTAATTAGTAATTAAAAACTAAAGTCCTCCATGTCAATAATGAGAAAGACAACCAAGGATTACTATATGCCCAAAGAAAATATCTAATATGTGAGCTAGAGGCCAAGCCAGTGGTGGAAGGGAAAAGCAACTTGTAGAATAAAAAGATTATGCAGGGTGAAAAAAACAACCCAACCAACCAACCAACCAAGCAAACAAACAAAAAAGCTCAACTATCATTGTGATGTTTAAGTAAAAGAAAAGATTACATCCATAAAAAAAATCAACACTATAATAAAGAAACAGTGAAAAAAAGCTTTTTCAAATTAAAAGTATGATAGCAAAAATCAAAAATTCAAGAGCTTAGAGTTGAAAATATTATACAAAAAATAGCAGAAAAAAACGCAGCGGTATTACAAAATAGAAGAAAATTACAGGTTAGTCAAGAAATTCTAACATTCAAGCAACTGTAATACCATAAAGGGAGAAAAAAGGAAATAGAGCAGAAGAAGCCATCAATAAACTCACCAAGGAAATGTCCCAGAATATAAAGATACGAGTTTCTGGATTCAAAGGGCCTCTTGGGTGCCCAGCACCCAAAGCACATAATTATGAAATTTCAGAAGATTGAGGACTAAAAGAAAGTTGACAAATGTCCATAGTTACAAAGTACTTTTAAACCTCTTAGCAGTAACACTGAAAAGAGAAGATAATGGAGTAGCGTCATGAAATTTCTGAAGGAAAATGATGGTGGACCTGGAATTTTATACCCAAACTGTCAATCAAGTATGAGAGAAATGGTAGCCATGCTCAGAAACTTTGACTCTCAAACACTCAGTCTAAAGAATTGAGTAGAAACTGAAACATGACCTACCAAAATGGAGTAAACCAGGAAAAAGGGAGACATAGGATTCAGGATACAGGATATAGGAGACCCAACATGGGCTGACAATGAACGGAACTCTCAGGATGCTGGCTGTGTGCTACAAGTAGAGGGCCACCTGTTCCAACAGAATGGAGCAGTTAGTCAAGACCTTATCTCCTACATGTCCAAGTAGGCCTGTTCCTAATCCTTATCTCTATTTCACTTGTCTTCACCATGGTCTAATGCCATTCCTTCTCTCCACTCCAGCTGGGCCATTCACTTCACCCCACAGAGATGCTTACCCTTGACCTATTCCAGGGAGCCAGGATAGCCTTTGGTGGGCTTATAGCTGAGTGTACAGAGCAACCCACTTCCTCTGACTCTATTCCCACTAGACATCCAACACCGTCTCACTCCAGCTCTGCCAGATCCTCCAGTTATATTGAGCCCTAGATCTTCCCACTCATGACTTCCACTCATGAGACTCACTCATGACTTTGTTCACCATCTCCCAGAAGACCACGTCTCCACATCTCCAAAACCTTCCCTAGCCTGGGAGCCCGTTATCTAAGGAAGGAAATGATTGTCCTTTTTTTACACAACTACATTTGACTTATTGCTCCACTTTTCAAAGGAAAATAATACATTTGGGGGGGATTTACTGTAAAAAAACAAAGTGCTGAAACCCTAAAGAAAAGCAAAGGAATGATTAACCTAAAAATCAGGATAGTAGTTGCAATCAAAGAAGACTCAGGTGCTGGAGGCACTCTATTTCTTAACCTGCGTGACAGGACCATGCTTGCCCACACGTGTGAAATTTATATACTCCTCTTTAGGCATGGTACATTTCCCAGTTTAAAAACGTTCAAGTTAATATTGTGACAGGAGCAAGCATTTCAGAGCTCAGTCTGACACCTCACCCTGTCAACTTGAGCAGCAGCATGAGTCACATGGACAGCTGGTGTCACAGCTGGTGTTGTCAGCTGAAGGTGTCCTAACAGCTGCTATGCCCAACTGAGCAAAACCATGTGAAGTCCTCACATTCGACAGAGAGAAGCACAGAGCTTTGGGAAAAACAGACCTGTATTCAAATTCCGGAGGACCCCTTCCCAGATGGGTGACCAAGTGACAGTGCAGTCACACTGCACATTGTAAGGACGTAGTGGGATTTAAATGTGATCACACACAGAAAGGGCTGAGCACAGCTCCTGGCACACAATGAACAGTAGCAATAGGCATGTCTGTGGATTTAGTTCTTTCACTCACATTTTGTTTCATTCCACAGCATTTTCAGCCCCCAACCTGCAATTAATGACAATCACCTCTATACAGGAAATTAAGAGGTGGCCTGGGGGGACATGTCAATTGGACATAACACAAGAGGCACCCACACTGTACCAGAAATCCAGCCACTGAAGGAAGAACACCAGATCGGAGATCACAGAATACAAAGAGAAAGTTGGGTTCTAAAATCTTACAACTAAGGCAGTGCAGACCTTGCCATCTGTAAGTCCTCAGGTCAGTTGTCTACTCTCCTTTCCACCCCCTCAGCTCAGTCCCTGCTTTCAATGATGACTTGTGCTGTCCACTGAGCACTTTCCTAATGTGGATTCTTAGCTCATTAAAATTCAGCCTCTCTTCTTTCCTAATGTAAGCAGTTTAGGCTATAAATTTCCCTCTGTGTTCTGCTTTAGCTGTATCCTATAGATTCTGATAAAAATAATATTCTCCTTTTTGTTTTGTTCTGAATGTTTTCTGATATCCATTATGATTTCTTTTCTGGCCAATGAGTTCTCCCATTTTCTTTTATTCACCATTCCAAATACTTCCTGTATTCATGCCCTGTCTCCTCTGGGCCCTAAGGATCTCAGCTACTTTCTCCAAACCCTTCAGAGCATCCAGACCAGAATGTACTGCTGAGCACTCATTTGACAAGACACAATCTTGTCATTTCTTGAGTAGCCTGATTTTATCCTTACAACAGATTACAAGAGATACCAAGGCAGGTAAAGTTAATTATACATCTGTAGAACCCTCTTGGAGCCAGGACTAAGGAGGTGCTACTCAGGATATGATTGTAGGTTTTATGTGTGTCTGTTAAAGGGACCACATCATGTCTGCTCTGTAAATACTTAGCCACCATGATCCAGATTTAAAGCACCTTAAAGACAGAGTAGTTTATTTCATCAATGTCAATTTAGGCTTACCTAGAATTACTTGAACAGCAAATATATATGTTTTACATATTTTTAAAGAGACAAAACTAAAAACTAGTCATTGCCCAGTTTAGACCATCCTAACACTGCAATGCAATTCTAATTCATTCATTTGTTCAATAATTCGTTTACTTCATCAAGTATTTATCAAGTACCTACCATATGTAAAACATTCTGAGCACAACAAACTTTAGGACAGAGCCTGGCAGGCAGTAAGCACCTAATATATTCTGGCTGAATGAATGAAAAGTGAAGGATAAACGAATGAGTCAAGGTCACGTGTCCAACACTGGCCTCTTCTTCACTGCTGTTACTCAAATGACTTCCCTGGGCCTGAATTTCCCAATCTACAAAGTGGAATGTTAATGACTGTTTTCCATCTGTCTCACAGGAGGCCTGAGGACCACTGTTTGCAGCAAAATAAAACAAAGAATTTCAAAAATACCCAACAGATTTTTTCTGTCCTTATGGTGTCTGTGGAATCATTGCATTTTCAGAGGCAATGACATCCCAACTCTGAACGATTTCACATCAGAAATCATGAGTGGACATTTACAGTATATCAGTATGCAGTGTGCTGGGTTAATTATTTGACACAGATTTAATATAATAAATAATTATGTAATGAAGGGCTACATTCTGTTGGGCTGTTAAATTAAAATGCAGTTAAAAAAAAAAGTGTGCAAGCTCAGAGCCACTCCTAATAGAAATAATAGACAGCAGCCAAAGCCGGTGCTCGCAGGGTGCTTCATACATGCCAAATCCATTCTACACAATACAAAAATTAACTCATTGAATTCTCCCCCAAAAGCGTGTAAGATAAGCACTATACAACTATTAACAGGGTTTTACAGGTGAGGAGTGTGAGGTGAGAGAGACTAAGGCTGGAGAGACTAAGGCTGGAGAGGCTCCATACAGAATGCTGAAATTACACAGAGCTGACCTTGAAGGTACATCATTCTGACTGTAGTCCTAGCCCTGGGCAACCATGCCACCCTTCCGCCCTTCACAAGTGATATCCTGCCAACAGCCAAGAGACCTTTTACCTGCCTGACTAATGTTTTAGGGGAAATCCCACAGATCAGGATACTCCATGGGGCTGACTTCCCCAGACCAGTAATCTGGGTGACTAAGCACTGTTTTCCTGTGAATTCTGCCACCCAGAGCTGGCAGCCTTACCCTCTGTGATGACGTGAAGATCGGCAACCTGACTTCGTCACATTCGTACTGGCTGAGGAAGCCCTGCTCTCGTGCCAGGTCCAGCACGGCCTCCACATGGTTGTAGAGTCTCCTGACAACAGCTGGTCGGTGACTCTGTAGGTCTCGGGCTGGGTGAAGTGAGTGAGGGTCCCAGCAGCCATGAAACTCAGGGGGATGGCCGTCAGCTTGGGCCCTCTGTACAGCTGCAATGAGCTTCTGACAGCCCCAAGAGCCCTTGTTCCAGACTGTGTCCAGCAGGCTCCTGGCCAAGTGGGAGAGAGGCTGACCAGGGAGGTGCAGGCCCTCGTAGTCCTCCCAGGAGAGCACTTCCCAGGACAGCAGCCAATCCAAGATGCTCTCAAAGCCCTCCAGGGATCCTGAGACCAGCAGCGCCACCAGCTGGCTCCTCTGTGCCTGGAAATCGTCCACTGAGCACATCTCACTATGTGGGGGAAAGAGAGAGAGACCAGAGGTCAATGTGAACTAC